ATTTATAGTTCTTGAAATTAAATTGTCTGTCACAATTCACAAAGTACATAAAATACACTGCATATTCAATCCCCAGAAAGGGATTCATTCTCTAATAAATGTGCTCAGACAACAAAACTTGGGTTTCAAGATTTAAAAGTGAAAAAAAAAAAGTATATATATATATATATGTAAGAAAAAAACTAGTCGGCATTGAGGGCTTCGAGCTGCCGTTTCAGTTCTTCAAGGTCATCGGCAGTTGAGGTGGTTCCCTCCGAAACATGCGGTTTTTGGAACTCATCTGCACTTGGAAGCTCGTGAACAAGGCCTTCCGGCAGAGCACCTAAATTAAACATTTAATGATTAAATGAGGGGAAAGAAAAAAAAATATATATGAAAATCAATTGATCATTTTTTGTTTCTCAGAGTATGTTTTGATTTGATCAATTAATTCAATCTCCAATGACACGTTTTTACGATGTGCAATGAAGGTCATAAAAAGTTCAATACGAAGATATAAGTATACGGTGTAAAGGAAAAGATAATAACCTGGGCTGCCATTTGAGTCTTGTACATCACTATCATCAACAACACTGAATCACAAATAAAGAAAAAGATAATAAGTCATTTATGTAGAAGACTAATAGCTAATAGAGCTATTAAACTCCATACAGACCAGAAAAGGGTGACCTACAAAAAACTCTAATAGCTAATAGCTACGGATGTATATGTAAAAGATTAATAGCCCACCAAATATAAACAAACAAACCTAAAATAATAGATCGATAAAAGTCGAGTTTGCTCTCACCTTATATTCCATTCGTTATCTGCATGGAGGGCCCCAGGTTCTACTATTTCTTCAGCCTCCATTTTCGCTTTGGTAGCGGCATCCCTGGCTGGTTTTGCAAGAACGTATTCTTTCTGCACAAGGGGAAACGTTTTTTTGTCTTTTTCTTTCTTTTTTTTTTTAAAAAAAAAAGGGCAGTAAAAAATAAAAATACATATTTAAAATTTACTCGAAAGATCTATCAAGCTAGTTCACCTGTCTCTCCAAACAGGCCGCATTAGAACATTGTAGGTTTGGCTTCATTTCCATTGTTGGAAAGAAGTCTTTGAGGGCATTGTAACCCTAAATAAACAAAACACTGTCACACTATAGGAACCAACAAGAACATAAAATAATGCATTTTAAGTGTGGGTGGGTGTGTGAGAGAGAGAGAGAGGGAAGGAAAATAGCTATTATCAAGACTTGCCAAATAAGGTG